CGTCTTTGCCCTGGTATGTGTAGTTGGTAGTTGTCTTTTGACACACCACCACCGATTCTCTATTAGGTTTGTACAATTCTACAATTTTTGGGTGGGGGTGCCATATGGAACTCTTACCTAATTTTACAAGAATAAAAAACAATATGCCTAGCACTGGTAGATTTTCTGTCAATTGACTGACAAATGTGTACTATTAGTAAAAAAAATAGTGCCATATATTAAAAAATTTTAAATATTAAGTCAATTTAAAAAACTAGGGTCGCTGATGGCTAATGACTAATTCCTTTGCATGAAACTGATTAAAACAGACTTCATTAAACAAATGAGTATTAAAATGTTTGCCTAGAAAACTATAATATTATTCTTTTACCATGTTAAAGTTATTTCAATTTACTTTCTAAGTTTAATAAGACTTTTTTGACATAAGAAAGTAGGATCATAAGCTTTAGAAAATATCAAAATTTAATGGAATTGTGTACATAAACACATGTACTGAGATTTATTATTGCAATATTTATTAAATATAAACTCATTAACTAGTAGTTATTAATTGACCTATATGTTGCTTGTTTATTATATTTGTAACTTCCTAGGTTTTAACTTTAAGTTAGACTGGAAAATCATAATTACAATATAATTTAAATGAACATTTTAACTACTGCACTGCCAAACAGGAAGAAAGGAACTAATACTAATAGTAATATCCGGCCAAAACTAATGAACAGTCCGGAGACAGAATACTAATCAACAGTGTTAGGCTAACCGTGTACAAACAAGAACTGAGGATGGAAGTACATTACTATTACTAACACTACTACTACTAATAGTAGACAGACCAATGTTCTGCAAAAACATGTAATATGTCCTCCCCCCCAAAAAATAAGTCACTTCATTATGCTTATAAATCGTTGTTTGTCAATTTACTAGTACTAAATACTAATATTAGTATAACTATTATTACTAGTTCTATTAAGAATATCGCATTTGCAATTTAATTATTAAGCCTAACTACATATATTAGGTTAACGCAAAACAAAACAAACGTCATTCTAAGAAGAGTAAGATTGTCAATAAATGAATAACATAGTAATACTAATATTCAGTAATAATAATACTAATAACACTTTTAACATTTAATAGTTTGAGATAATATCAAGATATTAGATAATTTTGAGATTGCAATTAGGACATGATAGGTCCCACAATTGTATTATGTATACAGCGTACTATAATTTTAGTATAAACTATAAGAATAAATATCATAAAACTTTATAAAAAATAAAATATTTTACTTACTTTTCAAAACCAAATTCAATTTTAACTTAAAACGTACGTTTAGTTTATGAATGTTCGAACTTCACATGATTGTAAGTCAAGTCTGTAAAATTAACTAATATTAACTTTACATGATAATCATTTTATGTTATACTATTTAATGAAGTCACGTGGTATTACTGTCAATAATTAAATATATATATTCCAAGGTATTATAACGTTCCGCACATTAACAGATATAGGTGTTGCTAAGTTCAAAACTTTTTAAGGCTAACTGCCACCTACTGATTTTTTCATATAAGATACAATTTTTGTATTTGTTTTTTTTTCTTCTGTTCTATAGGTATATAATTAATTTTAAGCTTCGATGTTAATCTTAAATAGGCAAAATTTATAGCACACACATATTTTTTATTAGGTTATTACTTATAGTAATAGTGTTATAAGCTACAATATTATAATATAAATGCTAGATAGAATGCACGTTGTAACGAGTAGCGCTCTCGTGGGCTTAATTGTTGGAGTTTCAATTAAAACTGTTTGTTACACAAAATTTATTTATTTGGAGGATTTGTCGTGAAGAGTGGAGCCACAAGTCGCTAACTCGAGGTAATTTACAGTTAGAATAAAGAAACAGAGTCCAAGACCAGAATTGAACAATTATAACAACATTCATTAAACATTTCTAACTAACATCCAATATAAATCAAAACTTCACTAAACATCAAACACTTTTCAAACATGGTTAATCGTTATATACTTTGAGCGCCGTTAAGATAGGCTTTCCAGCATTACACATAGATACACTTCTTCTTATGTACACCTCTCTTTGAAGGTGAAAAATATTGCTCTGCTATATTTTGATCTGGAATCATATTTTTGTGAGTCCAAAATTCTATTATTCCTTTTCTGTCCGCTGGCCATAATGCTGGATCAGACGAGAAATCGACTTCCTCGCCAGAATTAGTAGTGAGATTTTCCATCTCACATGCCATTTCCTTTTGCAAATCATAAAGGGATGAAGCCACACTTGTGCTAGAATTTTTAGTTGCTACAATGGGTTGAGAATCACTCAGGGTAAAAGCTTGAAAAGGCTGGTTGGATTGTTCTGCTCCTCTGTTCTCTTACAAATTGAGAAAACTTTGATAGTTTGGGAACTATTTCCAAAGCAGATTTTTCTATTTCAGTTTCTCCTTTTCTTTTTGTCATTTTCTGGAAACCACTTTCGTATTTTCTTTCCACATTTCAGAACGCTGATTGCTGAGGTAATTAAAAGATAAAAATATTTTTAAGAATTTATCTATGATTGCATAATGTAAGAAACATGCAAGGGTATTGCATGTGTTCGTGAATGCGAGTAATTTAACAATTACATTTAAAAAAAGATATGCCAAAATAAAATAATATATTATCCCCTCGTTGCTCTTAGCTATATTTTATACATAAGATTAAGGGTAACAATTTAATTTTCATTCACTTTAATTATTAAAAAAAATTAATGGTCATATCAGGCCCCATGATATACTAATTACGTTATTGTTAATGTTGCGTCATCGAGATCACGTGACTAGTGTCACGCCACCTATTTTCTAGA